AGTAAAGCAATTCATGAGCTCGCCTCACTTCCTCAGCAGGGCAGAAGCTCCCTGAGGGCAGGTGCTCCCGAGGGCAGGTCCTGCACCTTTTTCTCTCTGCATCCCACAGTGCTGACAGTATAGTCTTGGGCAACAGTCATTCAATAAGCTTTGTTGCATTTGCTCAACTGGGGAAATAACAGTTGAAACGTTTTGGGACCAGGGATGGAGGGATCATTAAAGGGACCAGCAGACCTTCCTCCCTGTTCACAAAAGTTAACAAGAATGAGCTCCCCCTATGGTGGTGGGGGTCATACCATTATAATCCTTTCTTGGCAAAAATGACAGCAAATTACCTGACGATTCTTTGGTAAAGTAAAAATGGAAGGCTGGGCACTGTGGCTCATGCCTGGCAGGCCGAGGTGGGAGGATTGCTTGAGCTCAGGAGGTCGAGACCACCCAGAGCAAGAGTGAGACCCCTGTCTCTACTAAAAACAGAAAAAATAAACTAGCTGGGCATCATGGCAGGCGCCTGTATTCCCGGCTACTTGGGAGGCCGAGGCAGGAGGATTGCTTGAGCCCAAGAGTTTGAGGTTGCTGTGAGTTATGTAATGATGTCACAGCACTCTACCTAGGGTGCCAGAGTGAGACTCTGTTTCAAAAAAAGAAAAAAAAAAATAGTGGTGTATTCCCTCCTGATGAACAATGTGAGGGTATATGGCACACTTCCTGAGTTGTGGGATACAATTGTAATCGGAATCTGACCAACAAACACAAACACTGTAACCTAATTACACTCTCATATTAATTTGAAATTTAAAAAAAATTTTTTTTAAATCTAAGCTCTCTGGTTTTTAAAAGCAGGTATCAGGTCAGGCAAGGGCAGAGATCGAGGAGCCTCAGTTTCTACATTAATAGGAGACTTTAATCCCGGGTGGTTGTGAAAAACAATTGAGTTAAAGTACCAAGCCTGGAGCAGGCAGGGTACACACATTAACTCCATGCTCGTTCTCTCCAGGGGGCATTTAGCTCAATGACAAAATGGAAGTCAGGGTACATGACGGGCTCTGGTCACAGAGCAGGCTCTGGTTGTTTCAGGTAAGGACAATGGGGACTCCTTGAGATAAGAGATCATTTTGAACACACACACACACTCTCACACACACACACATTTCCCAAGGGATTTTTAACTCTTGAGCAGTGTTAAAGGTAACTGTATAATGTGGTTCCCAAAGTCACAAAATAGGAATAGATGTTAGAAGAGGTGGAGTGAATAGGACTTAAGGAAGAGGACACGTTCTATGGCTAAGGTCACAAGTAGAGTTGATAGTAAACTGGGTGGGAAGCAGAAAGCCTAACTCCACGATGCACTGGCAAGCAGGGCAGGAGCTAAGACGACAGCTTCTAGAAAGCCTGGGTCAGGAGGAAAGATGAAAATAAACCCTGGGGACTTCACGGGGAAGATACCAGCAAAACTAGTAAGACTCCAAGGACGGGGTAGTTGTGAATCAAGACCTTCAGGGACACATTTATGGTCTTTTCCCCAAACCATGGAGATATCTGCAGATGATAATGGCAGTGATGGGGGGGGAAAGGAGAGGGGGCAGAGGAGGAATGGCAGTGGGGTCTGGTTGAGGAAGGGGTGGGACTGATTTGTCAAAAGAAACAAAACCACAAAGTACTGACCTAAAGTCAAGTCCTTAGATTTCAGAGACTTATGGCAAGGGACAAGCAACAGGTCTGAACTGATTTAACACTGCCAAGAGAACTGGGTGGCGTGCTGCCATTCTTGAAGCACACTGCAGGTAGATCTGGTACACGTCCTGTATACACAAGCAAACCTCTGCTCTTAGCATTAATTCTTCCGTGTACATTGTACTTCAAATCAGCCAAGCCTCCTTGTTATCTGAACTTCCCTGAGACAGTCTCACCCATTACTCTTTCCTTATGCTTCTCCTCTAAATCCAAATGGCAAAATCCTCTTCATCGATGAAGA